AAGATTATTTCCTCTTGAAGTCTCAGCAGTCTCTCAAGAATGGCTCAACAATGTACCCATACATAAAGGGCCTTCAGACACAGGTAATGTGACGAGTGATGCTAGTATTAACGATAACCCTCCCTCAGGTATTACAACGAGGTCAGGACGCACAATAATGCCTCCAATTAGGTTTTAGTTTAGATTAACAGATGTTGTTGAAGTTCTGACCCTTGCTGTTGTTTTGGTCGCTTTTATATACTATGTTGATTTGAAAGTTGTTGATTTTTTTGTGTGATAATTTTATTGTTTTAAAACCTTGTATGCCTCCCCCGGGAGTGTGTTGTAGATTAAAACCTATTTTGTAAAAATGTGTCAAAAAGAAGTGACGTTTGTTTTAGAGTTTAAGAAAAATAAGAACATGTGTCAGAACATGAATAAAGAACCTGGAAATGTGAGGAAATAATAGTTTTATTGCAAAGATCCCTCACAACAGTAGTGTAGCTCACGGTTACTTTATTTTAACTTTAATTAAAAAAGTAACATCTGTAATGGTGAAATAAATTCAAAAAATAAATATAAGTAAGCAGAATTTTATTTCTTGAAATCACATACAGGTATTGCTAAAGTTTAGGTATAGGTATACGGTTTGAAACATCGAAAATAATAATATAAATTTTATCTTCTATCATAAATAAGGTACCTTATATAATTACGATAGTAATATTTCTTAAATACGTATTATCTTCGTACGTATGTATGGTATCATTGGTTTGAGCTAAAATTTGGTTTCGCAGGACAAACAAAATAACAAATTTGGTAACATACCTAATAGTTATTAAATCAATATAGTATACAGTAAGTATTACGAATTTTATAGAAATAGAAGACGATTATATTAAAGGAAATTAAATTATCACTTTCGACTTTTCTATTTTATTTAATTTAGCAATTTAATTCTAGATTGGACTATTCTCAAACAACATAATACTTTTGCAGAAACTCGACTATTCGTTATTTTAAAGTTATACATTGTGCGAAGGCGTTTTTCATCGAAATTTGTCTACAGCTCCTAAAACATAACTAAGATTTTTTTAAACAAAATATACGTATCTTATTGGAAACTGTAATATGATTAATTTTGAAATGTTTTCGGGTTAATAAATTAACATTCAATAAATAAATAATTTAAGGGTCTACCGATGACACACCGTTTACTTTTTATAGTAATTGTTGTTTCAAAATACGACCCTGTCAATATATTTACTTATATGCCGTTGTTAGAAAATGTTTGATTTTATTGATTTGCGTTGGTATAAGACTTGTAGGAATATTAGAAAAAGTAGAAATACTACAGCAGTAGCTGTCTACAGTTTGAAACATTCGCTTAAATGTTTTAATAGAATATTTAAAAACGTCTTAATTTTTAAAATTTCAAAAGATATGTTTCCATATTTTACAATTTATTAAATATAATAATGCCATTAAAATTTTGGTCCTTCTCCACTTCTCTATTTCATTTTTTTAAACAATTTGTAATTTTTCAATACTTAAAGTTATGTATTTCATTTCAATATAATTCACATTCGATTTAATTTAAGGCAGTATTATTTTATATTGTACTTCTATAATACTGTATCCATTGACACGTTTTTGACTTAATTAAAATGCTATAATATAATTAATTTTCTAATAGTTAACAATATTACAAATTACTATCATCTAAAAGTATTAAACAGATCGCATCTAATTAAGATAAATAAATATTAAATACGAACTAATATAACAGCTATTTTTTCCTATTATTCACCAATCGTTAACCATATTAATAACTAGAACAATTGCGCGCCATTTTCAATTATGTGCTCTAAAAATTCTGTGCTGCGATGAACATCAAACATAACTGCAATAGAATATATTATAAACAATTTTTGTATATTTCTATTAATCTACAATACTTAATTAACTCCATAAATAGGATAATTTGATGTATTACATTTGGCAGAACCGATGCAGATAGCACCGTTTAGCAATAGTGCCTTTTGCCGCCATTTTTAATGTCATGTTTTCTTTACTGGTATGTCAATGTAGTATGCATAGACAAGTTGCATAGTTTTAGTTCACTTTTTGGCGGTCTGGACACACAACTTGGATTTGATGTAGCGGCAGATCGCGCACTACGATTGCGTGGAAGGCCATATTCGTCGTCGCTAAAATGTATTCGCATATTGAAAACCAGGTGAACGCTGAAATAAATAAAGCGTATTAATTTTTATGCAACTATACGTACAATGTATAAAAATTTAAAAATATATGCGACTTAATTGGTTATTGTGTCTCAGAGAGTTAAGCTGTGCTGAATACAATTTCATAGATTACAAGCACGGAACTACATTCGTGACCATCTCATTACCAATTTAAGTTTTTTTTTATAAATTCTCTTACCCAATGGACGACATAGTAAGCGGTGGCGGAGAAAGAATATAATAAGTCCGATGGTAGCTGCAATTGCGAGATAGAACAGTATCCAGACCAGCTTGTTGGTCCTGACGGGTTCCACCGTCTCGCTGCCGATACTACCCACCCTGGCTCGACACAGCATATGCAGAAGGGAAGCGACCATAAACACTATGAATATTTTTTCATGAACAACTGAAAAACAAAGGATTCCAAATTTAAAAAATGCGTTTGAGCGGGGATTTTTTTAAGATAAAGATGCTACTATGATTTTTGGATTACACCACCGTAATGTCCGATCAATTTTCGATCTCTTCATACAATTAATTATTAATTTGAACTTACAATAATTTTCTCTATTCGAAACGTACGTCACTCCTGTGAGTGCGAATAACTCTAATAAATTGAGCCAGTAACACGCATCGCCTAGTTTTGTTGCTTGATTGCGGACCTGAAAAAAACACTTACTAACACTTTCAATTAGAATTAACTGTCTATTTATTTACTATACTCTTATTCGGTTCATAGGTAACTTTTTAGTAATTATTGTGCGAGTTCCGGGTTCCAAGTTCGATTAAGGCGATTATATTTTTTTTAAACCTTCTTTATATGCTGTTTTCTCGTCTCTCATGTTCTGCTAACTTTTTGTGACATAAAGCTCTAAGGAAAACTTTTACTACATAATTTATAACTGTATTATATGTAATGTGTGAATAACAAATACCTTCTCTTCCGTGATATGCGAAGTGCGTTCTTTATGATAGTTGTAATACAAAGATCCTATTAAGAGCCTTGGTCCTAAATGGTAGGCGATACATATCCTCCATACATATCTTTGGGGACTGATACCGGTTATAGCACTTATCGATGGCACTACGTTATAAACCTGAAATTCAAATTAAAACCATAGAATATGCGCTATTAAAAACAAAAGCATCAAATCATAGATTAAGTAACTTACTCTACAGTGCGTTTCGTGTATATCATCTGCTTGAAATATAGATGCAGTCACGTAACAAAATACTAATGCACCGAGCGGAAGCCAGAGCGCAATTAGACATATTTCCCTCAGAGCACATGTCCAAAGTAATCCCTAAAAAGATACAAGCTTTAATAATTAATTTATGAAGCACTGGTATTAAACACTGCATTTTTTATCACCTTGTATTCCAAAATTTTAATAGTTCGATTCACATTTAATTTTTCATTGGAATGATCAACATTTGAATTTTGGGGCAACTGTATTTGTGCGTCATTTTCCATTTTTTTTAATTTAAGCAAAATATAATCTGAACATATTATTAATTATTTCGTTCTTTTAGCGGTGAACACCATAATTGGACACATTTTAGGTATTGAAAGTTTCACATATTTCGTTTTCATTATTTATAGCATTGTACTTTAAACATTTTTATCTGAAATATGTAACATGTAATTACTCCACGGTGGTTTAACGCGAATTCTTGGGATTATAATTAAAGAATAAAAGATCGTATGGATGACCCATGACGCGGATTGAATGAGGTTATTTGCACCTGCGCACCGAGGACCTGAAAATAAGGCGACTAGAGCCATCCATGTAGGTTGAGCAGTGCAGAGTTTTTAAAACTCAACAATCTTTTTCTTTTCTGTTTAAATAAATGTTTGCTTTGACTCTCCAATTTAAACATTAAAAGACGTTAAATAGATAAATAGTATTGTATTAGTATAATAATTTTTCAGTGTAACATTACCAGCCTAACTCATATCATAAACTGAATATAAAATATAAATTCCTGACCTAATATGTAATAACAAAAATTATCAAGATTGCGAAGATTCGAGGTGAAATTTAGCTGCAGGTTGATAACATGGAGATTTATGATTTATGCACCAATTTTTAATGCCTCCTTGTTTTAAAATTGGTGCATAAATCTCCATTTTATCAACCTGCAGCTAACTCCTCTACATTAGTCTGGGTCTTGTTATTTTTCGCAATTCTTAGTAACATAAAATGTAATTTTTAAAATAAAACTAACCTACGGAAAATAAAAACCGAGCAACCAAGAAATTTTTAATCTGTACTTGAAATTATTGATGTTTTGTATTCTGACAACTATGTCAAAGTGCAATTTAATCATTGTTCTCTTCTGTCAGTTCAGGAACTGCTCTGTAATTGTGCGTACATGTTGTGAATGTGATAAAAAAGCGCCAGTTTTCATGTTATCAGCCGGCTGTATTAAATAGAATGATAATATACTGTATTATTTTTAACTACGAAAAATAAATGAAAGTGATCATGCTTATTTTTATTTTTATTGTATGCCCCCTTGATGGTATACAAGCAAATACACATTGGATGGTCACAGAAAGTGGCTTAATTCAGCCAAAGGTGACACTATATCATATAATTCCTCTTCTTCTATTATTTCAACAAATTATGGCATATTTTTTATGCTAATCAATTACTTCTTTCTGTTATAAATTTGTGCCAAAAATGTTGAAACATATTGCGTTTGTATTTACATATAACAACAATTGCAGGTTGATTCTCCATTTGAATTGGACCGACCATACGATCTGTTAGCTTTCATAGATCAAGAGACGTATTGGAATGAGATTATAGATATTTATAACGATTTATCAAAAAGGCAAATAATCATTGATAAATTATGGAATGATGTGGATAAGAACACAGATATTGGTTTGCTAGTTCTAGCGGATAGCAATTGTTTGAAAGCCGGCCAACTTAAACAGTTGGATTGGTATGTGTCATATTCTGATGATGGTAGTTCTCGGAATATTCCAGACTATGTGTACCAAGTTACACGTCCACTGTTTACTTTGGATTTACACATTCCGGACTGCAAGAAAATATCATCATTAATTTTTAGTATGTCTACATTTGAACATTTAGAGGTAAGCATGAATCTATATTTTTTTTAAACAACAAATGTTATAAAATAGGAATTTAATGTGTTCTTTTTACTGAATGAAAATATTATAAAGCAATTATAAATGGCAAGTTTCCCATTCACCGGGTGCCCCTGACTTCTCGAACTAGTTGCTGTCATCATCAGATTTTTATATGCAAATTTTAGTAGTTCTCAATTAGTGTATTACAATGTGTTACACAATTTTAAACAACTGAAACAAATATTTTGTTTAATTTCCTAATATCATCTTTGTTTCCTTTATAAAGTTTAAATATATTTTTTTTTTAGAGCATGATTCATAGAGATAATTTAACTATGTTGGGAGAGGAGCACTTACCTGAGAAGGTGGCGCCCATAATGACTCTAGACCAGTTTGGTAACTGGGTGGCTCGTATTCTTAAGAAGAACAACACATCATGGCTGCATTATCACATGGCTTCCATGTATTGGCGTGTGAGAGGTAAAGCTCCTAAGGCAATTGAGTGCAGTCGCCGGGCTATACATTATGCACCAAGGTTAACTTGCTCAAATATCAGTATTAAAACCTTTTTTTTATTTATTTATTAAACTATCAAATCTTTTCAAAATGCTGTAGATAGTGTATATCAACACATAGAGTACTATAAAGTTATATAAAATATACAATGCAATATACATAAAGTTTTTAAGTTACATTGATATGTGTAATAATCAATCATGAATTTAAATCAGACTTTTTATTTTTTTAATTATTCACGTTTTTTATTAAAATTTCATTGAAACATTAAATTAATTAATAAAACTTTGCTTGCAGAGAGTATAAAGATTTAGCGCTATTAGGATTGGGCACAATACTACATGTTAGTAGAATGACGGAAGATGCAGTGATTGTATTGAATGCGGCAGTAGACCACAATCCAAACTCATATTTAAATCATTTTCATATAGCCAATGCTTATGCGGTGCTCTGTGACTTTAATAATACGAGTAGACATTTGAATGATTGTCTGAAATTGAATCCTACTTTTGAAATTGCTATTAAGCATAAACATGGTGCAAATTGTCTGGGAAATGTATGGCAGAAGTTGATAGTAGTAAAAGTGTAAGTAAAATTTAAATATTATTAAATTAATCTATAAATTAATTTGGGATTTCTTTGAAGAATAATAAAAAAGTATTTTGCAAATTCAAATACTAATTATTAATATTGTAGGTTTTTTTTAATTTCATTTGTAGTGACCATTTTTTTAATTATTATTATTTTGTTAAAGAGCCTTAAATAAATTGCGTGATGAGCTTGTAATATACGGTCAGAAAGAGGCTCAGTTGCTTAAATTACAAGCATCAATACTAAAGGCGATGAAGCTAAAAGAGGAACATGGTAAGAAGTTTTTGGTCTTGCCTTAACATTTTTTCAGTAACACAGTTTATATTAATACTAGCTTTCGCCTGCGACTCCGTCCACAAAACATAGTAGCGTGTGTGTTGTAGACTTTGATATGTATGACAAATTTCAGCGAGATTTGTTCAGCCTTTCCGAAGATACCTTCGAACAAATATCCATCCATCCATCTATCCAAACATTCGCGTTAACAAAATTAGTAAGATCTTTCATATTTACTTATAATGTCTCGAAATTAAAATATAATTTATTAAATTACAGATTATATGAGTGTTGTGAAAAACTGTGAGAAAATGACAGAGTTAACTGGTCTCGATATAAAAGCACTTAAAGTAAGAGGTGATAGGAATTCACTGATTAAGTACTTTCTCGATGGACCAATATATAATGATCTGTGGACAGATAAAACCAGTTTACATGTGATTGAAGTGGCATTTAGTCTGCAGAGATTGGCCAGACATGTTGATAAGCATTCAAGCTTAGCTTCAGAACTAATGGCTCAGTCTGATTTACTTCGGTCTGCGGAACATAGAGCTTTGAAGGATTTGATGCCATCCTCAATACCAGATATTCCAAGTAGGTCAAATGTTTATTCTAATCATTTATGTTATGTCAGAGGTTGATAGCTTGTTCTACTTCCGATATTTTATCAAAGTTATAGGTTAGGTAGTAACATCGGACCCACAATGTGTTGTTTAGAACAACATATATTTTGACATATAGTATTCTCTTGTATGAGCTTATTAAATCCTATTTGGGTATTTTTTTATATTGTAAATGTGGTTTAATGGTATACTAGTAATTGCCCGTGACTGTTGGTGGGTGATTTACAAACAAATAAATAGTACATTTATGATAAATTTCAGCGAGATCCATGCAGTTCTGAAGATATCTTTTAACAAACATCCATCTAAACATTCATGGTTATAATATTAGTAATAGTAGAATTATGTTCAATAAAATGTCGACATTTTATCGTAATTTAGTTATAATTATTTATAGTAATTTCTATCATCCAGGTAAGGAAAATACAGAAGTAAAGCAAGAAACAAAGATTGATAAAAAAGCAAGTACTATTGAAGAGGAGTTGGATGTATTTGAAGTTGGAGTACATTTGTAAGTGATTATTTTTAATATGTGTAAAACATAATTACAGAAGTGTATAAGGAGTAAAATAAGGAGTATTAATTTAGACATTATACTAGCTGTCGCCCGCGAATCCGTCCGCGCGGGATTAAAAAATAGATAGTAACCGATTCTTAGACCTACTGGATATGCATAATTTTTTTTATAAAACTAACATTGTGACGAGAATTTTAATATTGTTGTAGTTAAAATCTACTATAAGATCTAGACTGACCAATGTTTGGAATTGACTTGAACAAATTACTTCTATATTTCCTAAGACATTTTGGAATTATTATGTTTTGTTATTGACTTTTTTTAATCTTTGTATTTATAAATTTAATATATTTTTTATTCTTTTTTTTTTACAGGTTCCCACCTACAATGAAGATAAATCGCAACGCTGAAGATTTTGACAACGATCCAGATTGGCCGTCGAAAAGTTTTTGTAAAGAACACGAAAGGAATTTTCCGCAGAATGTAGAAGCTATATATCCTGTATTTATGCCTTTTGAAAACAAAGGCTTAATGTAAGTGGGAACATTTTACCTTTATTTTTTAATTTTTAAAGACTTTTGTTCTAAAAAAGTGTGAAATTTGGTTTTGTTTGTAATTCATACTTGTGGTCGCCTGTGACTTTATCCCTAAAAAGTAGACTATATAATATGCTCGCGTGCATCCGCTACCTTCCCGTCAAAGTCCCGTAAAAATAGGTCCAGCCGCTCTGAAGATTACTGGGAACAATCACGTCCTTGCAGACAGACATACAGACGGACAAAACTTGTAGAAATTGAAATTGTTTTTTTTCATTATCAGCTATGCAAATACATCATAATATCGCAGACAGACACTCAAATTATATTTTATGTTTAGCTTGACTGGTACTTTAAATTATTAATTCTCCGTGTGGACATAAAGATTGAAATATTTGTTACAGGCTGGGTACACTGTTAACGGATAAGTTGGGAGTGCCGGCATCTGAGGAACATGATCTCCCATGGCACCCTCCCACCTGCCCTCATGATAAAGTCTCTGCAGCCTTCACACAGAAGAGAAAGTAAGAATCCAATGTTTACTAACATCTGCTTATAAACGAGTAATAAAAGTATATTAGTAACTATTATGAAATTTACTAACATTTTTAATTCTGACGACAGTTATGGAACCATTTGATCCTTTTAAAAAAATATTTCAATGAACTTAAGGAAAGGATGTCTGTAAATTGTTAATTCTTATACAAATAAAGCGATAAGCGGGTCCCCCCACAACCGTGTTTTCAAAATTTTTGTATATTAAAAAATAAATAACTACCTTGTTAATAAAAACACAGAAAGAGAAATGAAGATAGAAAATAAATCTTCAATCTCACTTTCTCTTTTTTTTTAGCGAAGATTTTTGCCTTGTTTAATGAATTCTTGTTTTCCATAACATTTGAAGGAGTCAGCTGGTAGGAGAAGTGATAAGAACGGATCAGCTGAAGCAGAAGTTGTTGGAGTACGCGGGCAACGGCAACAGCGACCTCGTGCGGCACATGCACGACGCTGAAATTGGACATAGGATATACTCCGCCGTGCAAAAGGTATCACCCTGTATTACCACAATATATCCATCCTTCTCAATCGCTATCTCTTTCTTTTAATGAGTGAAAGAACGAGATAACAATAGTGTTTGTACACAGGGCGTTACAAATTTTCCATTATATGTTTATGACATGCTGAGAGTTATGAAGTACTAATTGTCTCCCGCGATTCCTGCCAGGAATTAAAAAAAAATAATAGCTTAAGTGTTCTTTCAGACTGTTCTACATCTATGATAAAATTCAGCGAGATCGGTACAGCTGTTCTGGAGATACATACTAACATACATTCATCCATCCATACATTCGCATTTATCATATCAGTGAAGTAAAGGCCGATCACATTGCTGCGCAAGCGGAACGAACCCAAATTTAAAAAAAAAACATCGTGGATTTGTACTCTGCTATAACAGTGTGACACCGAATATTTTATGGAATAACTCTATTGTGTATGCAGCAGTGAAATGAACACTTATTTTACTACGTTTCAGAGATTGGCACCAAAATGGATTCTATACACATTATCATCACTGTACTGGCGAGCTCGTGACAACAACGTGAACGCACTGCACTGTCTGCTGACCGCCAGTAAAGGTGTGCCCATACGATACAAGGATCTTGTGCTCATCTCCCTCGCCTCCGTCTGCTTGGAGATGGGATACTTCGATGAAGCTCTGACAGCAGCTGAAGAGGCTTTCAGACTTAGCTTGTACGAAGTAAGTTGGAGTTTTTTATATTTTCTAATCTAAAACTCAAATATAGATTAAATTTCACTGTTTTTTTTTTAATTTCATTCTGTAATTTAAGATAAAAATATGAACTTTTTTTTTAATTTTATTAATTAATAGGCCTGCGATTTCGATAGTGAAGTATGAGACATAAACAACCCCTCGGCAAAAGTTCTCCGTCAAAATCGATCTAGTCTAGATCTAGATAAGCAAAGAAAAAAAATATTATACGTAACGCAACATATACATAATATGTATTAAAGTTGTTTTTTTGTATTTCAGCCGGCAACAAACTTCATTTTAGCAGAATTAAACATGTTGAAGAAACATCGGCATACCCATTTGTTTCACCTGAAACAAGTTGTGCGAGTTGACAAGGAGTTCCTCGGTGGTATTGCTAAAAATATATTGTATGCTTGGGGCTGTGTATTAAAACAGGCCATTGATTTATCTGATTTTGGTGAGTTTTATATATTAGCAAAATATGCAAAGAAGTAAGAAAAATAGAGTTAACTTGATTATTAATAAAAATATTTTCTAGATTGAAACATTTGTTTCTTACATGTTTTTCATATAAAAACAGTAATAATTTGCCTGATGCATGCAGGAACAGTATATTGAATGCAATTCTGGTTACAATCTGTTCGCAATATAATAAGACTAGATTAAAAAAAAGCAATTAGTAGTGTATGAGTTCTTCCAGACTATGTTCTACATCTATGACAAATTTCATCAAGATCCGATGAGTCGTACCGGAAATAACTAACAAACATTCATCCATCCATCCATCCATCTAAACTCTCGGATTTATAGTATTAGTAAGATTACTAAGTTAGTAATATTGGTAGGGTGATATAATTACGTAAAATAATATTTATTTAGTGTAATTAATTTTTTAATTTATTGCTTACAGATTATGGCAAAAGCGATGTGTGCACACAATTAGAGCCGGGTGTGAACATGGTGTGCGACAGGGACGGCACCAACTGTCATGTCACTAATGTCAAATGTCCCAGTTATATGGAGAAAGGTATTGTTTTTTATATAAACAAAATATAATCAGCAACATGTTTTATTATAACTAGCTGTCGCTCGCGACTCCATCCGCGCGGAATTAAAAAAAAACAATACTTTATGAGTAGTCTATGTTTCCAAACTATGTTCTACATCTATGCCAAATTTCAGCAAAATCCATGCAGCCTTTCTGAAGATACCTTTAAATATCCATCTATCCAAACATTCATGTTTATAATGTTAGTAAGATTGCTTTCTACGAACATCACCTAAAATACATCTTGTTAATTTTCAACACTTTTATTACTAACCGTGGGTTTCTGAGGACAAAGTCGCCGTTCAAAACATATTGTTACCTCTGTTTTGTTAAAGATGAAAGAAAAGGATGACGATATGTTTTATACAGAGATTTCGGTATCAGAAACCAAATGTTCGTCTTAATACTTTTTAAATTTCAACAGCGGATAAAAGCGTATTAGTTCGTCTACTGGAGCTAAAAGACGAGAGTATAAGACAAGCGCACGTCGACAACATGGACGAGGATCTGTTCGACCGGATCATAAAGAACATGCCGAGAGACCGCGCAGACTTCCTCGGCCATCAGCTCAACCTGGACACCATGATGATCACCATAGCAAATTCTCTCAAGGGTTGCGGACCCAAAGGATGTCATAGTAAGTTTTAATAGTCATCACTAAATGACCAATATCATCACCATCATCACACCGTAGGCCACTGCCGTTTAGAATTGTGTCTATCAGAAAGAAAGCAGACTCTTATCTATATTAGCTTTTGACTGCGACTCCGTCCGCGCGGATTAAAAAAAAACTTACTTGGTAGCTTCTGTGTTCTTCCAGACTTTTTTTTGATATTTAGCCGTTTGATAGAAGCCGTTTAGCTCTTCTAAAGATAATTAATAACAAACATCCATCCATCCATCTATCTAAACTTTCGAATTTATAAAACTAATATAAATTAAGACTATTAAGTAATTGCTACGACCTTTTAACACTTTTTTTTGTTTCCTGTGTGTTAGCGAATTTTGAATAAAGTTGATTTTTTTTATAAAATTTTGTCTATTGTATATGAGAACGTATTAAAACGGTAGGTTATATATGCGGCATGTTTCCAGCTATGCAGGCGGAGGACATGGCGCTGCAGGAGGAAGACTGTACGTACCATCACCTGCAGCTGGGCTACTGGCTGCATATTGTTAGTTTCAAGCAGCCCTTCTCTGATCCTAACTTGCGGTAAGATGTATGTCTATTAAATTTTCTTTTTTTTATTACAATTTTTTTTACAGTATTTTAGTATTGGATTTATATGCTTACAGACATCCATCCAAACGTTCGTTTTTAGGGTTCCGTACCTCATAGGAAAAAAACGGAACCCTTATAGGATCACTTTGTTGTCCGTCCGTCTGTCTGTCAAGTTTTTTTAATAAGTGACTAGCAACTGAGTGGTGAATAGGGTTTCGCGAATAGCACATACATTCCAAATCATTGAGGTCATTGGTCTATACATGGGCATCTTATAAACTTTGATAGTTTGTTCCCACTTTATTTTTGCCATTTTGAGGTTGTTTTGTGGTTGGTAGTGATGGTGAAGATTCGAACTAATGATAGAAATATAACTGTCACGAACTTTAACAGGCACGTATAAGTCGGAACGACTTAATCCAGCATCCCTATAGGAGCAGTGTTAAACTTCAACACCTTATTCATGTTAAAAAAATGTTGATTATTTCAGTCCAATTGTTTTTTTTTTACAGTCTGTTAGATATAACATCACTGAGTCCGTCTAACAAGAAGGTTCCTGAGTGCCGGATAAACGGAGAAACTGCACGGGATTACTTCCTGGAGCGTGTGATGCGCGTTGACGCGGAGCACTGGGAGCCTGTACTTACACTCATGCATCAGTTTGCTGAAGTATTTAACTACTTTGACTACGTCACGCTGGGAGCCAAGATATCCAAGTATTTGGAGAATGTGGGTACCGCTTTGTCACTTATAATAGACTAGCTGTCGCCTGTGACTCTGTCCGTGCGGAATTAAAAAAACTTAATTTGTGTTCTTCCAGGCTATGTCTACATCTATGCCTAATTTTAGCGAAATCCATGCAGCCGTTTTGAAGATACTTTCAAACAAACATCCATCCATACAAACATCCATCCATCCATACATTAGCGTTTATAATATTTATAACATTTGTAGATTTTGCATTCAGGAATCTTTTGTCTCTTTTTATCAAGTTATTCAATTAAATTGTTGTCTTGTAATATAATAATTAAAAAGTAAACCATTGAGAAACGAAACAATTCGATGATTTAGAAGCGATTGTTATGTTTATTGTGAGAAGTAACATTTGCTCTGTGTTGTTCACAGAAGCCACGTTCGTGGTCGGGGGCGCTGTCGGCGGCGTGGTGGTGCGGCGCGAGCGGGCGCGGCGAGTGCGCAGTGCGCTGTCTGGTCGCCGCCCTCTCCCTCGCGCCGCAAGCGCACGCGCATCACGTCTGGCGCTCCATCGTCGCTCTGCTGCACACGTATGTCATACAAATACTTACTACTATGTGCATAACAACAATATAACTTACACCCGTGTCCTATAGGGGTAGTCAGAGACCGAGAGACGAGAGACACTCTCGGTTCTTCTACATTTATTGATCTACGCATATATGCACGTCAGTTTCGGATGCTTCAATACCGCCTTCCTTGAATATTTCTTCAATCGAGTCGATATAAGTCCCGCTAGGACGCTTCTTTTTCAAATTCTTTTTAATCTCATTTAATTTCTTTCAAATTAAAAAAAAACATTTATTTACATTTACTTCTATAATCAAATTGCTCTTTTCTTTCAGGCAATCAAAACAAAGGGACGCAAAAGAGATCGCATACCTATCATTCTATCTTTCGCCAAAGAGCAAAGTGGAGGCCTTCCTGGTGGCTGTATCACATACATGCGTTGTAAGAATACTTTTATTAATAAAAAAAAAGTAAACAATTATAGTTATATATCACTGGAAATTTTCACTCTTAGTACAATACTGTAAACACATGTCGTGTCTGTTTTTACAAAGAGTAGGTGATATTGTATCACGCAATTACTTTTACAGAATACATTCTTTAATCAATGTCTCCGCAATCAAAATATTTACATTTTTAATTTTTTTTTTATAATTATTAATTTGTAGGCGGAGTTCGAGGAGGCGGTGTGGATGTACCGGTACGCGCTGTCGTACGACCAGAGGTACCTGCCGGCGAAGGCGTGTCTGCACGCCACCATCTGCCTCATGGTCTTTGGCGAGAATGCCAAAGAGCAAGCGGGATAACTTGCATAATATACCAAAGAGTAAAACATGTCGAGGTTATAGAAAAGTTCGTGCCGATTTATAAAGTCTTTGATTGCATTTAAAACTGAAGTAATAAGTAGTAATAAATGAAAATCTGCTTATCCGATGTCGTCAATCTGTTTGGACGTAGAAATAGATTTTAACAGCTGTATATAATGATATGTTTTGGAACTGAATTCCAATACCTTTGTGTATTTAAAAAAAGCTTTTAGCTTTTCTTTTTTTTTTACTGGAAAATTTTGTTGGTCCAGTTTTATTTTGACACGATGTAGCTAATAGTCAACAAAGTTCTCTTACAAATTGGCACGAACTTTTCCGTTTACCCTACATATAGTCATTTCAATATAACTTAATATCCAATTTTTTAGATTAAGAAATAATAAGTACAATTTTTTCCTGTTAATTCTTTATATATTAATTAATATAAAGCTGATAATACTACAAATCTTTGAAAATAGATTTATATCCAATATGCAGTACATTTTTAATACTGAACTTCAAATGTTTGTTTTGTACACTGAAGTACTTTTCTATCGACTCAAATTTTGTGATATATTTTTAATGAAATACAGTCGAGCCCGGAAAAGCAACAGTCCGAGGCGACACAATAATTTTCTCTTTTATAGAGGTTTCTCGTTTACGGAGATCGTCCGGACAAGTCGCTTACAGAAGTTTTTGGTTTATCCACGTTCGATTGTGTATTTTTTTATATCATAAGGGGCCACTTGATATCGCTGAAATAGCGAAGTGACCGAACCTTTAATCGACGGAGAAGAGGATGCACAGAAAGAAAATATTTTCCCTTTCCATGCATCCTCTCATCCGGAAAGTCCAGTTCCACTTCCCATCCTTTCCTTATAAGAAGGGTGGGAAGGGAAAGAGGACTAAATTAGGCCTCCGGGACGCACACTCATCAGACGAAACGCGGAATTGCTTCCACTTGACGCCTGTCTTCTGTGTGGTCGTGGTATTTCCCCGGGCGAGCCGGGACAATTCATGCGAAGATGTTAAAGCGGGCTCTACCACTGTTAATTTTAAGTTGTATCATTTCAATTAATTAGTTGACTACAAATTGTCGTAAATTATTTCAAGTATGTTTCTCAGTGCTTCTTGGAAAAAACATTTTACAATTTTTATACTGCACTATCTAAAATAGACTTTACTGTTTAAATAATAATACTCAAATTAGCATGAACTGTATTCATTATTAACATAATCAATTTATCACATAGTACATAGATGTTACCCAATAGATATATGGAATTTCTCACTTATAGTAAATTAGTATGTGATTTCCGATTTGTAACTGATTTTTGAATAATCTCATTAATATGTTATACTTAATGGACAAATTAAAGGACTTCAATATAAGATGTGTCTTGCCTTTGCATTGAAAAACATTTTTTCTTATATATTCTTTGTTTCCATTGTATGTACTAAAACTTATCTTTTTTTTTGGAGGATATGTTTTTGTACAATTTCAACAGTGGAAATTGTTATGAACCCGTTGTTATTTTTTTACTCCTGAATCTTGCCTAAGACTGATGTTACTTTTTTATTTTGGTTAATACAATCCTATTTTTTTAATTTAGTTGTTTTATTTTGTCCTTTTTGATTTTTTAGCCACTTTTATTTACTATTCTTTAATACATTTAATTATGAAACAAGGTGTGATAATGAAACTACACACATTCAAATATTTTTTTTATTTATTTAAAACTAAAAAAAGACACACAGGTAAGAATATTATTGAATATAGTTACAGTACACTATAAATACATTAATAATTAATTGACGTTGACATTGACATTGACAATTGACATAATCTTTGAAGTAAAATCCATAGAGAGATGAGTTCAGTGTTGCCAGCGTAAGTCTTCGTCGTGTCGATATTGAAGCACCCACAATAACTATTGGAACACGCACAAGAGTATATTTCAGTTACTAGTCCTGTGCAGTGACCAATAGTTGTTTTGGGCTTCCTTTTCTTTCCCGTTGACTTCTTCAGCACCTATCTGCAAGGAATATTAAAAGCCGACATTGAAACTGATATATCGCATATTCATCTTTTTTAAATAATGATGTTAGTTCGTTTTATTATATTATACAAGTAAGAAATAATATTGGTAGGTTATAGGATGTTTTCACAATTTTTTTTTATTTATTAAATATCAAAACCTCTATGGCGTTAATATAACATAGATGTCTTTATGGATGTGTCTATCCTTTTTTTAATTTTTTTTTCGAATGCGATGCGAGAATTTAGATTTTTTTTGTTAGAATATATTAAAGTGAAATGCGGATATACCAAATATAAATAAAAAGACACATCAAGTTATCGTAAAACAAAATAATTAATACAATTATGTTACGTGCTACAGTTAATTTACACTGCCAAAACATTCATATAAAATCTAAATTTAACGATACTTTTTCAAAGAGAAATTGAAGAGAACTCACACCTAAGCATAGATTTATAAATCTAGATGGGGCCACAAAAGTGTGGCGTGTTAGAAGTTCTCCGGATGCCTTTTTCATGGTTAATTTCGGCAGTTTTATTACTTACATTAAAATATTTTCATTAAATGACAAATTTGTATGTAAACTTCATCTAGAGATATTTTATGAAGTTATGATTTCCACGGAAACAAACAAAAATGATTGTTAACAACAATCAAATTTCTCTATAGTGAGACCAAAGTTTAAATGTTCCTTAATAAAATTACAATAAAATCTGGATATTAGATATGAATATTAGTATTAGAAGTAAATAAGCAATTAGGTTGAGAAAACAACTTAGATGTAACGAGAGATATAGAGAACTCTTAATAACCTTATTATATATTAATAATAACTTATAATAAACTTATGCTATTTGTAAAGTAAATGCCTGGAAAAGCCGGCAAATGCTTTGTCTTTTACAAAAGTCTTGTACATTTAATGACAACTCCATTTTTTCTTTGTAATTCGAGTAACTATATCAATTGATATTAAGACTTCTAATTACATAACATAGTTACATAATAGACATAATAATTCAAAATATATTAAAGTCATAGAAATATGTTAATATGATAAATATAACTTAAAATTATATTGGATCATAGCAACGTTTTATACATTACACAATATATTATATTACTGTAGTAAGTAAACCCACCCTTAACTTAGGGTAGGCTCCGAGCCCCTCGATGGGGACGTATAGTGAGCTGATGATGATGAAGTAAATTTATTATACATCCTTATTTCTATAATTACATATAGTCTTAAATCTATGATATAAAATGAAATATAAAAAAAAGAATAATTTACTAAAATATGTTATTAAAAGGAGTCCCTTTAGGCAAGGTCCCGAAGATACTGGCAGCGTTCCCCCTTTGGACAGCTAAACTAATTCTTTGACCGAGGTAGCTGCCATCTCTTCGGTCCCCTGTGATGTCGATTAATTAATTACTTACATTTATTCTAAAGAGAGTACAAATTTTAAAACTGCTAGACTAAATTAAGTTATATTCTTCTGTAGACTGTAGTTATTGATTCTTTGATGATCTTCTATGTGTAGATAATGAAAATCCCGCAATAGCCGCTGTCACACGCACAAGAGTATATGAACAACTAATCTTGTGCAGTGGCCAGCAGCTGCTTTGGGCTTCATTTAATTTATCCCCGTTTTCGTTTCATTTATCCAGACTGTCATTTATTTTATCCATATTTGACATAAAATCGTTGATATCTATTCAGAGGCGATTACAAGCGTAGCATGCGAGAAATAAATAAAAAATAGTTTTTTCGTAGAACAACTTTGAGTTTAAAAAGCTTTTTTAATATGATATTCTTTATATTAACTATAAATTATAGTTGAATTTGTTTTCGATAAAAGAAATTCTACGAAAATTGATTAAGTTACTAATAAAAAAATAATTAAGTTGCATTTAAAATTTACAAACCAGAAATACATCAATATATTTTACATACAAAATATATTTTTGTATAAATAAAATAACTGTAAAATGACATTAAACATTTTGCTGCACTACGTTTGTGGTAAAAAAAAACTCCCTGGTTTTATCCCACTATACGTGTAAAGTAATAAAAAAGTTTTTTTTTATTTATATTGGTACCTTGCAACCTTAGACATGGTTCTAAATGGATGGAAGCATAAGTTGGAAGGGCTTATAAAAAGCCTGCCATATCGGATGGCGTGGCGGGAAGCCCCACGCTATCGGACTTGGAAACCATACTAAAGGCTTAAGGCTTAAATAAACTACATACATAAGTTATACCAGGCAAAGAATTTAACGAATGCCATTTTTTTATTTAAAACTTCAAATAGAGCACTAAATTTTTATTTTGCAATTATTTTACGGTATGTTTTTTTTACGTTTTAAAAGTGTAATCAAATTAATAGAAATTCTTTGAATTAAATTTCCTCCTTACACTTTATTAAATAAAGTTAAAATACAGTAAAAATTTGAATATAGATTTTAAATAAAACTGAAAAATAAATAAAAAATACTTACTTGCAAAAACTCAAACAACACAAATGAAAGCAAAATGAAAATCTATGAAATACCAACACGATCAGCTGTTTGTAGCTTTTCTACAAAAAAAAAAACTAGAGAACGGGACGTGCTCTCACGGGGTGAGTTGGGGTGCGAATGGACACTAGGCGGTTCACACACCTCGTCTAACATATTACTTACAGCGTTGGATTATGTCCTGTAGCCTTACTTATTTTCACAGGCGCAAGTTATAAGCGGAGCGATTTTATTACTTTTCGATAGGAAAAAATATAAAAATCATTTGCGAACTAACATCAGAATAACTAAAATGACACACAGAACATTTATTGCGTAATAAAAAAGCCAGCAAATTCATATTACAAAGAAAATTTTGGGCATTACGTACTACACAGGATTATTTTTATACCTTAAGATTTTCTTGAAAAGTTGGTATGGTTGCTACTTACAATTTGTAGAACTGACTTGTTCTTCTTCTGATGACCTTAAGAAAAGATATGTATCTTAATAGGATTTAATACTATTTAGTTTTTCCGTTATTGTGTATTTTGAAAAGATATTCAATTATCTAATTATGCTTGGACCACGCGTTAAAACATGCTAGACATGCTGTCTCTTTCTACTTAACCTTTTTATTTTACTTACATAATAAACAGATGACTGGTAAATTAATTGAATTGTAAAGATTTAAAATACAATCAATTAATTAAAATAAATAAAACTCTTATGGTTTCAGATTGTTTATTCCTTTTTCAAAGGCCCTATTCATATACCTGTCAAAGTATGACGTCTTGAGATACTACTCCAATCTCCACTGTCTCGCAGCCCCTTATGCTAGTCTTGATCAGAAATGATTCCCTCATCATCATTTTACATTTACACATAGGACGCAATCCGCGACGAACATAGTGATTGGAATTATTGTTCGAAGAGAAGATTGGAACAAGTTGCCAGCGTCATTTCTTCCATTAAAGTAAGACGTGGGTGCTGTCAAGAGTAGGGTGATTAGCGCGTATCATCTTTAGGTCGTATCATCAATTAACATCAGGTGAGATTATTGTACAACGTTAGTTTATACGTTGTAGAAAAGGTCTCTCGCTACCTCATTTGTCCAGCGATACTTTGAACGGCGGACTGGTTGGTTTTAGTATCTTTGATTTTTATAATTTTTAGACATTATGGAATAGATTAAACGAT